GGAATTTTTTGGGAACAGTTTTTCAATGAGGATCAATGGATGGTAGCAAGCAAGCCGTAGTGGCACCGGGTCGTAATTAAGGTAGTGGTGTATATGGGTAACTAAATATTTGTTAAGAATAATATACGCACCATTATATGCATCAGGAATGACATCAGCACTCATCCAGCTGTATTAACGATGATATGTGTTTGTGCATTAGTAGTAGGTGTAACCATAGGTAATATTTTTGTCTATTTCAGGATTTCATCATGCAAGCTGTCGTTCCAACTGCTGCCCGTGCAACTCTCCGTGTGGTATGGCGATCTATTTATTAGTCTTGCTGTACAGTATCCAAGGGGCAACTCTGGAAGAGTTGCTTCCTTCTGGCATGATCTTGATGAAGTTGCTTGGTAGCTTGATGATTCCCCCCTTTAGATTTACAGTAACTATTTGTAGTAATAAAAAGTAGGCACAGTAATACAGGATTTGCATAATTAATTAGTGTATTGTGTGTAGTCGATTAGTAATTGTTTAGAGTATTAAGAAATCGTGAAACACTATGAGTAAGTTACGTGATGGCATGCATATTCAATTAGCTTAAGCCTCATTGATGTGGGTTGGAATGCTATACAGTATGTCAGTTATGGCTATAATATTTGTAATATTAATATGGCGGTCTGACACAAATGCTAAAGCGTAATGAAGTTTTATTAGTTGATATGTTGGAGAAGCAGTCGGCATAATGTTATTATTGCTTGGATAGTTATGATCGCATTAAGTGATTAGGCATTGGAAATAATTATTGAATAATTGGCCACATTGATTTGTTGTATACAATTATGTGGTATGTTGTATTTTTGAAGTTTGTTTTTTGTTTTTTTAGATTTTGTTTTTTGATATATTGTTTATTTTTGGTTTTTTTTTTTAAATAGGAAAGAGAATAAGAAAAAAGAAATAATTGAAAATGTAACGATCTGATAACTTATTGTACCCGTGAGCATGCTTATTTGTGCGCTAATGAACTTAATTAATCAAGCAAGAGGCATTAGTGCGGTTGGGGGCAGTAGTGTTGTTCATTGTTTGCACTCCTGTAATGGAGACTGCAATTTATATTTTAGGTTTCCATTCTACGGAGCATATGTACCTAGCATGTGGGTGGCGAAATGGGCTACCAGATAAAGATGGCGCAGGCAATAGACCTAATGTCCCAGTGTCGATTTCTGCAATTCTTTGGTCGAACCCTGACATATGTTATGCTTGACGCCAGTGAGGTGGTTTAAAAGTATCGCAAATTCATTCCTTTTTATAACGGCGCCACCTGCTAACTGTTATTATCTGGATTGATAAGGCAAGGCTGCTAGTAGGGCAATGTAATATATTTATAAGGCAATTTATATCAAAAATATTTTCATTTTCATCTTGAAGCTTGATTTGCTATTTCAAGGTCCTGTGGCATGCAAGTTGACGCCCCCGACAAATACCTAAGTAAAGTTATAGAAAAGTTAAGCTGCTATTATATTATCATCATTGATTGAATATTATCTTAGATTATTATTATTAAGTGAGCAAATATTTAAAATGAAAAAGTGAAGATTAGATAAATAATTTGCTGAAATCAAGTGGATGGTTACTAGTTTAATTTATTTATCATTGGAAAATTATGAATATTAACAACGCAAGAAATTAGTAAAAACCAGGTCTAATTTTACAATTGTGATTTGTTAGGTCCATACTGAGGATTGCTGGCATTCAGGAGAAGGAGCGAAGTAAAAATGCTTTCCTGGAGAAAAGAGAAGATCTAACCATTAATGGAGGGATGCTAAGCGTTCTTGCCCAGCTTTCTCACAATCAGAGCTTCAACCTCGGTATTAATTTCGGCTATTGTGATACCTGATTTGATGTACTATCATTCTGTTATTGCACCTTTGTACTCATATGGCTCGTTGTTATCGATATTAAGGTGATAGCCTCATGTGTTTTTTGGACGCGTCCACTCAGTACGTTCATTTCATATTCTTATGGACGCCGGCTCACGAGTAATATCGGTATCCTAAGTCGCGGAAAGTCATTTGTTTTTGAGCGTAACTGAGTATAGCCACAGCAGCAAGATGGTCAGTGCTGAATTATGGCCTTACGTGGGATCACACAAAATCTGCAGAATTACGTTTACCAAATAGCTCTCCTCACATCTGCCATATTTAATGCCAGATATGATAGGTTCAATAATCTGCTTTAGATTTAGGTGGTGCATACATTTTGAATTCTATAAAAATTAGAAGTAAATAAAAATCATTTGAAGCCCCCTGACGCGATCATTCTCCGCGACTTTTCGGGCCCCTTGCCGGAACCCCTCTTAGTTCAAAAGCCTGCATGTTCTGGAAATGAACAGTCGTTTCCGATGCTTCAAGAGTTCGGCTGGTAAAGCGATCGTCAGATTCTTTAGATAAATAAGCCAAATATTATATATCCATGTAAAGGTAATTAAATGATCTATTCAGAATAGTGTACATAAACTTAATTGTTAGAAGATTTAACCTGAACTTAACTGCCTAGGGTTTTGCTGGAGCGGCTAAATTACATGTAGATTTGAATTTGTTGTAAATTGTGTTGTTAGGTAATACTATTCATATTTCCACGTAGCATTTGCGGTGTGAATCTGGCGTGATTGTTATTCGTATTTATTGTAGTTTCATTTCAAATACATAGTCGTATAGTCCGCATGTTTATTAAGTGCATACGGTTCGTCGGCCTTGTGGCCATCGCAGTTGGTGTATACTTTAGGGTCTGATTCGCCAGTCGGAGTGAGTTTTGTCGCGATCGTAAGAAATGATTTTTGTTGCAAGCCATGGTAGTTGCGATAATCATTCTATGTCACCGTGGTGGTCGATATTAATAGCTGCGGATTTGTGGGAAGCTGATCTTTATGTCGAGCGCTAAATGTTGTATCTATTGAACTAGGCGTGGTGATTTCAGTACTAAAGAGAGGCAAGATTAACATGAAGGCAGGAGCAGCAGCCGATGGCCGAGCATTTTCCTTCCACATTTTTTTCTCATCTTAGAATATGTACCCTTGGGTCACACTTAGTGACTACTACACGGTTATATCTAAATTCATTACAATCAGTATTTAGAAGGTACTAGACGTTGTTTGTGTCAAAAGAGATATATAATATACGCTCAGGTACAGGTATTAGCGAACCGGCTGACTTTTTAGAACTATAGATAGTGTCAGATATCACTGTGTGTGATGCGTTAATTGTTCGTAGAGCACGCTTGCAGCTCTGTGAGAGTGGACAGCGCAGTGTCAGCGAGTCAGATGTCACAAGAACTGGAAATGGGCTGGACTCTGGCTAGCAACCAGTTAGGGCAGACAGCCTCACAGTCACGCATCATGGACCAGCGTACCCAGAACAGAAGTGTGGCCATCCACACTGCCAGCGCCACAGGGCACAAACTTGAGGAGGCGTTCTTCAGGAGAGGAATATGGCGCACGTGAGTGCATCCCAAATGCTCCTTGACAGGTCGGTGTAATATAGAGTAGGAGCGGTGTTGTTTAAAAGCGAGGTCTATATCAACAATGTTTTGTAGCTCATCTTGACCGTTGACCGTCGAGGCGCCCCAGTTGCGTGGTGGTAGAATCGGCATGATCGTCCGTGGCGCGCTTTACCGTTAATCGGGACCATGACGCGTCCGATGCGGCGTCCGTTCAACGCAGGTCATCTGAGCACAACCACTCTATAACGGCTCCGACCGTAGCGGATACTCGAAGTCGTGGGAGCGCGGCGGGGTACAATGTATTTGTGAATTAAAAGCTGAGATTGTTGGGAATGCTCGAAGCTGAGGGTCAAGGCCAGAGATAACGGCTTCAAATTGTAGGTGCATCATTAAAGCAAGGGGAGACCATTCGCTCCTTAAACTTAGGTAATCAGGGAGGGAACTCGCCGCAATTAGCCGCGCAGCGAATTAGTTATCGTAAAACGTACTCGACCATGAAGTGCTTCGTCAGTATTTAGTCCCGTGTATAAGGCCTCATAGAGAGATACGGAAGACCATCACTGTGCCGAAATTGGGGAGGTCACAGTCAAGGTCAATACGGAGCCGAGGGCAGATGTCTACGACATTGTTCTGAGGACAGTGGCGTCTGACCGACCAGCGCCGATTGGAGCAAACTCTGTCTTTCGTCCTGTCGTCAGGTCGCCGAGTAGCGCTGAGGAACCGGTACGTCGCCATGTTTTTACATGGGCTTTATTGAAAGGACCATGAAATGTACTTTCCGCTGACATGGGGCGAAGAGCAAGTGTCAGATAGCTTCCTTGACCGCTCAAGAGAGGGTTACAAACATGGATTTGTTTAACTGTTTAGAAAATAATTTTACGTCGGCGGTTTGCTAGTAGAATCTAACCTACATGCCTGGACGTGATAAAGGCTTACAATGTCACAGTGAAATTTAAAGAAGCTAAATCTTGTTGAAGAAAGGTTTTATGCTTCTTAATCGTATAATTTCCAATGGCATTCTGTACTGTCAGTGTGTTTACGATGTAACTTCACTGCCACTGCAGTAGGCCACTGGCCAGTGCATGTGTAGTTGATAGTAACTGTGTAGTTTTTGCCTGCGTTATTTAGTTAAAGGTGGGCGAGCTTCTCTATTTCAGCCTGTAGGCTTGCGTAGGTAAATGGATGAGTGCTTGTACCATATTCTGGTCTTGCAAATAGTTGCTTTGCGTTACTACGTACGATGTGAGCCTTCCATCTTAATCTTAAACAGCTTAAACGTAGCGCGCGCATCTCGTGCAAACTTCATAAGCGATCGCCCAGACGAACATTCCTTTGAGAAGGTTCCTGATATCCATCCATGTGCCTTCTACTGTTTCGGCGGGTAGTGAACATCATTTGGGACTAACAGGGTTTAACTAGACATGCCCCCATCCACCAACACCGAGTCACCGCAGTAGACGTTGGATGAGCGCTGTCGCTCCACGGCACTTGTTTGTTTTAATCTTTTTGTATGTTTGTTTCAGATGATCTAGATTCACATCTCATCGCAATAAAAGATGTGGAGGTTTTCCTGACTTTCCTGCACACACTAAGTGATATGGGGGCAGCAATGCAAAGAAAACTCATACATGCATTAATCAATCCACTAATTTACAAGAATTTGACAGAAGGTATGTATGTAAGTGGAATGTGTACAAGGTTAAATATTACTGTGTGGACATTCCCTTAATGAACTTGTTCTGAATTTTTTCTTCTCAACCTCACCATAATTCACCCACCAAAGCAATGGTGATGAAATAATTTGTAAAGTGTGTACATTACTGTGGAGAAAGTCTTTCTAGAGTTTTCAAACTAATGAAGTTTGGATTAAATTCATGTGTATGCATCAAAATAACCATGTAATTTTTGTTGCAATGGGAATAGAAACGAATCCGTACATGAAAGAGAGTCAGGCACAGTTTTCAGCTGTTGTGGCAAGCATGGTGAAACCAGTTTTCGTAATTGGTAAGCACAGTGGTTGTTTCATTGCATGCATAAATTACGAAACATTGATTGATTGCATGTACCTGCATCATGTCTGTTATTACTGGGGAGAAGTAAAGTTGGATGTCATTGAACCTTCATTTGGGAAACTAAAACTGTGAAATATCAATATCTGTGTTTTTGTTGTTGTTATTAAGCAGACATTGCATTTTCCCCATTTGAAACTAATAATTTTTATGTTGGTTTTTATGTGCACAATGAAGGTATTTTGTGTGAAATTCACAACATTATGGCACTGTGTTCCAGGCATCGACTTTCAAGACAAGTTGGAGTACAAGACCTTTCTGGATGAGCTCACACTCTGGACAGTAAAGTATGAATTTCCGCAGAAGCTGGTTACTTTGCTGCTCAATATGCTCACAGAGAACGACTACAAGGTTTGCTTTGTTTGCATCTATGTGAAAAATTAGTCAAATATTCAAATATATAACTAATATAATAAATAATATATACTTGGGTGACCTAAACAATGGAGTGTGCAAGGCCTAACCTTTGAAAGAGAAGCTGGTATCTCAGACAGAGCTACGAAATATTAGCTGCTTATTGTTTAAAATATGAGGCACGCCATTACCTTTTATTTTGAAAATGATTTACAACCATGCCAGTTGTTTTGGTCTATATCTCTGGATTATGAAAATATATGGGGAAAAGCAATTTAGTATGATGCTAGCTGAATGTTCGAGGTAGCTATTGAGCTTGGGTTTATTGAGTTAAACTTAATAAATCATAGGTAAATTAACTCTAGAAAATGTTGAATTTCGAAATAATCAAGTCTTCACCACCCTTCTTCTTATTTACTCCTGATATATCACATATATAACCAGTGGTACAGGGTACCGGGATATCCACGTGTCTGTGTGAAATTTCCTACATCTAGTGGCGCAGTCAGCTTCTTCTGGACCTACAATTTACCTGGTTTCCCCAGAGATGTACCGATGTGCCGAACTGCTAAACTATAGACTACTAACAAATTTGGTGCATTAGTGGCTGAAAACTATTGGTGTATGGAAGAGTGACATGATTTAACACACAATTTTCCTAGAAGGTTCTCACGGGGTACTCGAGCCTAACAAGGTGATGATGAACAATTCTATATGCAGTCTTTCCTTTTAGGCCTTTATATGGGACTGTTGTTTAGCAAGGTGATTGATTGAACAATTCTATATGCGGTCTTTCCTTTTAGGCCCTTATATGGGACTGTTGTTCAGCAAGGTGAATGATTGAACAATTCTATATGCGGTCTTTCCTTTTAGGCCCTTATATGGGACTGTTGTTCAGCAAGGTGAATGATTGAACAATTCTATATGCGGTCTTTCCTTTTAGGCCCTTATATGGGACTGTTGTTCAGCAAGGTGAATGATTGAACAATTCTATATGCGGTCTTTCCTTTTAGGCCCTGCTTATGAAAGTTGCCAGGAGATGCGCGCGTACGTTTAAGTGGTACTTTCAGATTAAAAGATGCGAAGCTCCATCATACGTAGTAGCAACAACGATTGCAAGACCAGAATAGGTAAGCACTCATCCAAAATTTACCTACGCAAGCTTTACAGCCCTGCAAATTGCCAATTTAGCCAGAGCTTGCCACATGTAACCAATTAAGGCAGGCCAAAAAACTGCACCAAGCACATGCACTCCGGCAGGCAAGCCACTGGCCAGTGGCCTACGTTACGATGTAACATACTGACAGACAGAATGATCATGTAAATTATACGGATTTAAAGAACATACACCTTCTTTACCAATTTAGCTTTGAAATTTCACTGTGACATTGTAGGGCCTCAATACATCCAGGCATGTATAGATTCTATCTAGCAAACCCGGCAGTCAAATTCTTTCTAACAGACAGTCAACAAATCCAATTTTAACCCTCCTCTTGAGGGGTCAAAAGGTTTATCCGACACTTTAGCTCTTCAAGCATGTCAGCAGAAGTGACATTCATGGTCCTTTCAATAAAGCCATAAAAATGCTAGGTCACCGCTGAAACAAAAAGTTTTTCAATCGCTCCGTCAGACCATGTCCATCAGAAAATGTTAAAATCTGCCGCTGTGCCCATGACCTTTGACCTGTGACCTCCATTTCGCCGAGTGATTGCTTTTCCTACCATGATGCTATACACCACGACTAATCACGGAAGCTAGGTGAGAGCCCGTTTATTGATTTGCTTGCCGCAATTCTGCATTTCGCTCCCTATACCTAAGTTAAGGAGTGAATGTTTCCCCCTTCTTTTACACGCTCTTGACCTTTGACCTTTGACGCCCGGCAAGCTTCGACATCCCAACTCGTTTCGATTACCCCCGCCACATCCCGAATATCGTGACCGTACGTCGAGGCGGCTTAAGATTTGTCCCACTGTTACGGACGGCACGACGGAACGGCGCACGGACGGCACGGACGATCATGCGATTGCTACAGCTGCATCCTGACCTATGTCAGATGAGGCTAAAAAGCTAAAATATTTGTAGTTGTCACATAGTAGGTGCTGCGAATTTTTCATCAAATTCTTGTTGGCCGAGCATAAAGATAAATTCTTCACCATATAAATAAATAACGTGTGAATCTGACATCGATTCATTGGTCAATAAATGTTTGGCAAAAAAAAGAAAAGATGTTTGGAATAAATGTTTGAGTCAAGTAAATTAGAGCAATGCCCGATGCCGCAAGGTTTGACTGTATCCTTAACATGTAAGTCTTGCTTTATAGACTGGGTGTTGACACAAAAAGTACTGGTAAGATCAGAATGGCGAGAAAATACAGAAACCGTGTGGAAAACAAGTGAAAGTCAGCAATGTTAAATGTAACTTACTATGTACAGTCCGACCTCACTTTATCCGGCGCACAGTCGGGCTGGCACCCATCAGAATATGGGATTTGGCCCGGATATGAGAGTTTTAATGCTCAAACACAGCATTTCTATGCAGTTCAGTTAGGCGTTTATTGCATGGTGATAATGTATTACTCGTTGGCTATGATGATTATTGTAACAAACGTCGTGTTTTATGGTTTATATGATATGAAATAAAATTTGAAATAAAACAAAAAATTTTTAGCCACTTCGGTTTACGGTTGTTTCTTTTGTGCTGAATTAGGCTGTAATGATCGATACACTCACGGGCGTTGTAATGCCTAGGCTAGGGCTTGTACATATGCGCGGCAGCGCACGAACTTGATTGCAGTACGGGGACTAGATCGATATGCGATGTGCGTAGCGAGGTAAGCGCGTTCACTAACCGTCCGCATAAGTCAAAAGTTGTCGTTCAACCGGACGAAAGTTCGTACACAACACGCATGCACAGCACGCATGCACACACATTTTTGTGTTCATTCATATAGTATACAATGTATATATCGGTGTTATTCCTGCGTAGTTTTTACAGCATCAACAAGTGAGTACGCTATTTCGTAAATATTCGTATTAATATGGCCGTATATTTATACATGTACGTATTACATGGGCGTTGCTCTATACGATAAGTGTGTTCTGTTTTGTGTTATGTGATAGCTGTGCCGCCTCTTACGATAATGATGCGTTACATCGCGGCGAGAAACTCATTGGTACATCGCGGCGAGTTTGAGCGAGCTTTGAGGCCAAAGATTTTATGTGGAAATGAATGAAAAAGAACAGAGAACATACAGCTGCGAGATCGCGGCCGGCTTAATAGAATTTCCGGATAACGGATGCCGGATAAAGGAGGTGCGACTGTAAATCAGAACTTGGCACATGTATGTCCCAGCAAATATCTCACACGCACGCGACGCCACGCACGACATGCACACACGCATGCATGCATGCTCACTCACGCCACGACACGTAACGCGCGGCACACCACACGACACACAGCACACAGCGCGACACACACACACACAGCACTACCATGTAACAGAGGGCATTCATGACCATGTGTGTGAGGCTGATGAGCCATTGTGGCTGATAGTGGTGGCTTCTCCTCGGCACTTTCAGAGCAGCTGCTCCAATTGCTGAACAGCTGCACACTCACGTGCATCACGCCGGTTCGAACAGTTTTGTGTTACTCGACTGCTTGGACGTTGGCGAGAGCGAGAGAAATGCGCGTGTGTGCTGAAACAAACTGTCCATTGTGAAGGCCTCCTGACCAATATCCATATAAAATTGTTTATTCATTCACCTTGCTGACCAACAATCCCCATAAAGGCCTAAACGGAAAGACCGCCAATATAGAATTGTTCAATCATTTCACACTTGGCTGAATCACAGTCCCATAAAGGGGCCTAAAGGAAAAGACCGCATATAGAATGGTTCAATCAAGTCCCTTGCTAAAACAGTCCCATATAAAGGCCTAAAAGGAAAACTGCATATAGGAATTGTTCATCATCCACCTTGTTATGGCACGCAGTACCCCGTTGAAGAACCTTCTAGGAAAATTGTGTGTTAATATCATGTCACTCTTACCTACACAATAGTTTCAGCCACTAATGCACGCAATTTGTTAAGTAGTGGCTTATAGTTTAAGCAGTTCGCACATCGGTTACATC